CAAAAAGATTATGCTAACGTGGCTGGCTGCGAATATTAATACAACTGAAAATTTTATTTTAACTCCACTATCATGGTTGTAGGTTTGCCAAAACCTCACTTTCCCAGAGAAAAAGTCAATAAAAGGTGTTTTTACTCTTATCTGTTACTCTTTGTTAATAGTAGAAATACTACTGACACAAATTAAAATGAAAACCCTTCTGACAAATGAATCCTCAAGATTCCTGTTACGGCCTTTGGAAAACAAGACTCAGATCTGCTTAGAGGTTGGGAAAGAAACTGTAAGAGTTATTGCAGAGGGCTAGTGCAAGGAAGGTAGGGGCACCCTGACTTCAGAGTGACTTTGCTACTTATCTCTCTGAGTCAATAGCAAATAGCTTTGAGTAATGTCCAGCCTTTTTACAGAAGAATGACAAGGGCTGTCAAGTACAGAGGGCTGGTTTGATTCTAGAATGTCTGGAACATTTGAAAGATGTACACCTGTCTTTCCTTCCATTCAGCTTGTCCCCCAAGGCCACCTTCAAACAAAAAAGGCAGAACATGATTTTTCCAATCACATCACTCCTGTTGTTCATTACACGCCCATTCCTCCATTCTGTATTGGTTTTTCCATTAGATTACAGGCACTTTAGTTAATAGTTAGTGTGTGTCTAACATAATAGAACTCCATCCTTTGTTCATTCGAATATTATAAAAGCCTAAGTCTGTCTGCCCGTAATGCTTTATTCACGCTCTGAATGGCTGATGGAAACAGCCAAGCAGAGTGCTCCAAGCATGGGGGAGCGCCGCTATGATTCTGAAGTTGCACCAAGGACCAGACAGAGGGTAGGGGAGCCAGGGCCAGCAGCACTGGCCTTGGCTCTCCTACCCTGCTCCCTGCAAGAGGCAGAACAGCAGCAGCATGGCGCATTAGGTGGCAGCACTCCATTCTGGTCCCCCCCCCGCCGTCATTCTTGACAGGCAATTGGCTAGTAGAATCATAAAGAAGTAGGGCTGAAGGGGACCTCCAGAGGTCACCTAGTCTAACCCTGCTACTTGAGGCAGGATCATCCCTATCAAATCCATCCTACACAAGTTCATTTTCTAACGACCAGCAGCAGCATGGCGCATTAGGTGGCATCACTCCATTCTGGCCCCCCCCCCGCCGTCATTCTTGACAGGCAATTGGCTAGTAGAATCATAAAGAAGTAGGGCTGAAGGGGACCTCCAGAGGTCACCTAGTCTAACCCTGCTACTTGAGGCAGGATCATCCCTATCAAATCCATCCTACACAAGTTCATTTTCTAACCTATTAGCAAAATTACACCGTCAACCATGACACAACCAGAAAACATAATACCCTGATCTGCCATAGGTAAAACAGGGGGACCATGGCAGTCAACGTCTTGCTGCTGCAAAGATAAAATACACTTGAGAGATCCTAGAAAGAGGATCAGAGCCTCATTAAGCAAACCATAATAAACATTACTACCAACAAGTGGAGTTTAATCACAGCAACGGAGGCAGTAGGGAACATGCAACAAAACATAAAACCCTATCTTGAGTGTAGAAAATTAATGCTAAGATATCATGTCCAAGAATATGCTGGAAGTGAAAAACTGGATTCAAGATTATGTGTACCACCAAATGAAACTTTCCCAAGCAGTGGCCAGAACATTGAATTTGGTTCTATATGAGGATTCATATTCACTGCAGTGAAAATGTCTCTTCCTGGCTTAGAAGAGCTGTCTGCATTCAATACCCAACAAGAGTACTGTTACACCATAAAATCTGAAAGCCACAGACTTAAATTTGCTTAAGCAAATTTGAGTTTCCAGGTCCCTTAAATGTAACACAGAATAAGCAGCTTTAAGATTACTGCACTCAGACTGAATACCATTTCTAGCACCCTTGTGTTTAAATCTGTTACAAGAGAAAGAAAACATAGATGCTAATGCAAAATATGTGGTGTGGCATGAGAAGTTACTTGATAATAGCTATAATTATTTACACACACACACACACACAAAAGCCCATTCCTACATTGTTTTTACATCTGAAAAAGTAGAACACTGTGCCCAAGTTGCTAAAAATGCCATCTAAAAAGCATATAACCACAAGGTTGTTAGTCTGAAAATGAAAAAAGATAAAAGAAAGAAAGAAACCTGGCCTTGACTTCTACTGACCATCTAGCATGGTAGAAAGCAGTTACAATCAAGTCATGCTGCCCATTATAAAAGTTATGAAGATAATGGGAATGTGTAACTTGGAAAAAAATAATTTACAACTTGAGATTTAAAACCTGTTTCTTAGTGTAGACAAAAAATCATGGGTAGTAACTGATGATCAGACTGAGTGCCACTGGGAAGCTGTGGTATTATCTGGGAAGATGCTGTTTCTATTTTGTTTGCACCTAGCATAGAAGTCCCTCTTCCCAGCTAATAGAAGGACTAACCCAAATGCAGCACAACAGATTTTACACAAAATGTGAGACTGCCATAAAATTTAAATACATATGAAGAAAGTTTTGGGAGAAAATGAGTTATAATCTGATAAAGTGTCAAGTCTCTCAATAGAAAGCTGCTGAAAACTAATTAATAAATGGAGTTTCACTGCAGGGGAGTGCACCAGCCACTAGGTTGTATCCATTCGCTAGGAATCACTTCATCAGCAGAAATCCAAGTTTTCTGTTTACCACAGAAAAACATTGTAAAACCTGGATTTCCTCCTTTAAAGGAGAAAAACGCAGGGGGTGCAATGTGCGTGCGCACACGTACACATGTACATGGCTGCCAGGCTGCCTGGAGAGCAGCTCCCCACAGGTAAATGTGGTGATGGCACGGGGGGGGGGGGGGGGGGC